GAAAGCCCCCCGTCCTAGAGGCTTATATTGGGGTTTGGGGGGGGAGGGGGGGGCCCCAGAGGGGTTTCCTTCCGGGGGGGAGATGGGGTTCCAGCGGCCCGCCGCAGGGCCCCGATTTTTTCGGGGCCTTTTTTTTTTTGCGCGGTTTTTTACTTGTTTCAAGGGAATCGCCGGCCTTGCGGCCATGGTATCACGCTCTGCGACAGCCTGTCGGCGCTGCTGACCGTGCCCTGCTGCACAATTGACCACCTGCATAGCTCGCGGCCTTAGTATCCACCATTCAGTGACGACCTGATCGTACGGCCAGTAGGAAGGTGTCCTTCCAGCGCGTGCACGCTTCTGACGCAATGCGCGTCACAAACTGCCTCGGCGACTGGCTGCTGGCACTCTCGAGGCTATGCCTACACAGCCTCGCGCGCATGGGCAGTCAAGAGGGACCATGCACTTTCTCAGGACAGCGCCAGTGCCTCTCTCTTGGACCGGCAAACGTGGTGGTCTCGTGTCACCAATGTGGGACCAGTGCGGCATCGCGCCATCGACAGCTCTGAACTGCGCCTCACCACTGACGGGAAGGCCGCCAAGTGGGCCAGCACCGGTCACACATTGTGGCAGCAGTCAGCAGTTATCTGATAGCTAGAGCAGCAGCGTCAGGGTCGCAGGGTCGGATCATGTCAAGCCTCTCGCCCGGCCGGCCGCGTGCAGACGAGAGACGTCGGCCTGTCTGCTGTCTGCAACGGTGTCTCGGGTGTCGCGCGAGGGTTGCAGGCGTGAGCTCGCCCGTGAGGGACGTCGCCCGTGAGGGACGTCGCCCGTGAGGGATCTCGCCCGTGAGGGACGTCGCCCGTGAGGGACGTCGCCCGTGAGGGATCTCGCCCGTGAGGGACGTCGCCCGTGAGGGACGTCGCCCGTGAGGGATCTTGCCCGTGAGGGACGTCGCCCGTACACCGCACGCTGGCAAGGGCCTCGAGGCCGATGACGTGTACCTCATCAACCCGTCGATGTTCCCCATGGCGGACAAAATCGAGCAGGGGGGCGAGGAGGCGTTTGAGGAACTGAGCGTCGAGTACGTGGCCAAGACGCGCCAAGGACCGCATGCGGCATGGTGTTCCTCCCGGACCTCGAGGTGACCTCAAAGAAGGAGGTGCTGGGGCTCTTTGTCAAGCCGAGCGTGCTTTTGCCGTTTGTTTGCCGGAGCGAGTTCTTTTAAGATTAGTGTTCCGAGGGGGGGGCGGCTCGCTGTCGCTCGCTCATTCCAAAAGCAACAGTGGGGTCCGCGGGTCCGCGCAGCATGGCGCACATGCTGGAGGATCTGTATGTCCCTGTGGAGGTGTTGGGCTGCATTGCCTCGCACTTTGACGCCGCGGCGACTCTGCTCGCCTTTGAGTGCGCCGCCTCGTCCTGTCGGCGTGCGACTGCCGGCGCGTGGCGCAACTTGACGCTCTCGCGCTTTCCGCGCGTGGAGGATATCCTGCGCCTATCTCCCATGCCCGCTCCCTCATTCAGAGAGCTCTTCCGCCGACAAATCGCGGCGGCGCTGCCGCCGCCCCGGCCGAGCCTCGCCGACTTCATCCTCAGCGTTGAGCTCTCGGTCGACGGAGAAATGACGCACTCCTGGACAGGGCCCTACTGGGAAAGCGGCCAGGGCGAAGGCGGAGCCGCCCCGCGCCTCTGGCCCGGCGAGCCGCCGCCCTGGTTCAGGCCGTTCATCGCGATTAGCAAAGACAACGACCACCTTGTCTCCCGTGATGGCGCTGAAGGGTGGGCCGTCCCAGCCGCCCTCGCCGAGGCGTACACGTGCACGGTGACGGTGACGCACGCGCTTCGCTCGGCGCGGCTCTACAGCGGCCGCCCGTCCCTCGTCTGCGCGTCGCGCGACGACTGCGTCGTCTTTGACGAGCGGCGCCTGCCGCCTCTCTTCTCGCCGCCCGATCCCTCGTCTTGGCA